ATGAAGCATGGGAAAGGCAGTGTGATGGTTTGGGGGTGTTTTTCTGCTGAGGCGACAGGGAATATTTGCAAAATAGATGGGATAATGGACCAGCGCAAGCTAAGAAAGAAGGTGCTGGAGTCATTCAATTGATGCAATGGCCCCTACAGAGCCCTGATCTCAACCCAGTTGAGCAGATCTGGGATGTGATAGATCAAAAACTTGACAAATCAAAAGTTATTTCCAAAGAAACTTTATATGAGTGTATTAGAGACATTTGGAGTAAAATCCCAAATGACACTTTGATTAAATATGTTTCAACAATGCCTGAAAGACTGTCTGCAGTTACTAACCCTTCCATTATGGGCTGGGTAGAATCCAACCAGCTCATAACCAGCAAAGTATCTATGAGAGTAATTGTACTATAATTTTTTGAAAATTTATGAAAGTCTTTACAAAATTTTGCATATTATTATTAGTTAACATTACAAGGATTTCATACACATAATATCTGGTTTTTGAATTATGTTTTAAGAATCTTTTATTAAAGATTTGATTGTGAATTTTTTCTTTTGGAATGTTGACTCTCCAATGCACAAAGTAATTTTTATTTTAAGATTAAAAATACTTTTCTTTATCTGAAATTTGTCAAGCTTCATTTGCATAATCTCTATATCCTTCTGGATAATCGTGAAATGTTTCTTAATAACTTTTTTTTATCAGTTATTTTATGAATATTAACTCTATATGGTGTTGATTGATTTAACCGACCTTATAACCATCATAAAAATTAGGAAATCTAAATTATGTAACGGGCAGTGCCCTCATGGGCCTAATTGTTGGAGTTTCAATTAATTACTGCCAGTTACACCAAATTTATTTATTGGAGGATTTTGTTGTGACGAGTGGACCTCACAAGTTACTAACTCGACGTAATTTACGGTTAGAATAAAGAATCATTGTCTCGGACCAACATTGATCAATGATAACAACATTTATTACTCATTTCCAAGTAACATTCAATATAAATCACAAGTCCATTAATTGTTAAACACTTTTCAAATACTGATAATCTAGATTTTCCATTAATACACATAGGTACTCTTCTGTTAGTTAAACATAATATTCCTTTAAAATTACTTACACTAACTGATTAAGAGAGAAACCATTGTACTTACAACAGAGCTGGACTGGTAAACTTGCAGATGTTAGAAACTTTCATAGCCATCGTCACAAACTTCAAAAACTTCTCAGGAGAACTTCTGAACTGCTGGTGGAACTGATTTTTCAACTCCAGACGGGTTTTTAAAACATAATTTCATAGTATTCTCTCGATCTTCCAAATAGTATCCAGAACTACCCACAAATAGTCCTGCCACTTTATTGGTAGATCTAGGGAAATTCCTGGGCTAACCAAGAACCAGAACCAAAATTCTCAAATAATTGGTTACTGTTATGTTGAGTTAACTGGTTGTCTATCTACTTGTACTACTACATTTGTGTCTTGTAAGCAATATCACATCAAAGTATTGCTGTTGCTTATTAACTACGAATTTTTGTAGCTTTCCTAGTGCTAACAAGTTAGCATCATTAATCCATCAACCTATCACGGGTACCCGTACACTTACTTCGTTGCTTGGCGATGCCTTTACATAACTTTCTATACCACTGACCTAGCTAGCTGAACTTTCTTGTTCTTGGCCTCATTTCGCAATACAGGCATTTCCACTCACACCCTTATCCATATACACATTCACTTAAACTAGAAAAACTGTTATAACTGTATTCTTAAACACTTTTCAACTAAAAAAAATTTCCTCAAAAATATTCAATTGCTTCAATTACCTATTTTGTTGTAGAATAACTGCAAATTCTAATAGGAAACCACAGATATTTATTCTAAATAGGTTAAATCTTTTAAGAATATAAATTTATTTATATTTATTAATTTTTGTTTTATTGACCTTTGAACTGTGTCTGAATAAAAAATACCCTGACAGAAGTTGAAAATTACACAGCACACATACATTGATATGACCCTATCAAACAGCATAATGCAGGAGCTTATGGCGTGTATACCCCATGAAGGTTTTTTATTCTTATTCTTTAATTATATTACAAACAACTCTTTGTTTTTATGATTTTACTTACTTTTATAATAATAAACAGTTAACACAAAGTAAAAATAAAAAATCTCATAATTAAATATCAAACATTTTTAGTTTCAGGAAAGCTTTATATTTTATTTGCTATTTTTTGTACTGTTACATTATACTTATTTCTCTAGGTTCTAGCTGCGTTAATCAAAGTATAACGAAAATAAAGGTTTCAGAATAAAATGTATAGTATTGGTAGTAGTAATTACATAATTTCAAAGAATTAATGGTCAGAGTTTACACTCCCACTTCTTCACAGTTATTTTCTGTAGTTATTTTATTGCTAGTAGATGAGTTAGAAATTAGAAGAAACAAAACGAGTAATACTTTGTTCTTTTCAGTACAGACAGTAAAGTTCCAAGTAAATCTCCTGAGAGTTTCTTCTAATCTTTTTACACCTATTTCTATTGTTATTCTACTGTTATTTGCTGAAGTAGAAACCTGCCAAATATAAATGAATCACCATTCCTGTTTAGGTGTTACCATACTTTGAGTACTTTGACACAGTGCAATTCCCAGATGCGAAAACTTTAATATTTAACCTGAAGTCAACCCTAATGACACTAAGTAGAAATACTGCCACTGGTGTTCCTTCAGTAATTAATCAGGCTGCAGTAAATTTCTTGATACGTTAACTGTAAAAAATTGAGTTTTCTTGAGTATTATTGTAATGTGTTTCTTAAACTTGCTTACAAAAAATACATATTTTGCAGTAAGTTCGTAGAACGTTAAACTTTGAAATATATGTATATTCTGTAATGAATATACAGTGGGATAGGATATATCAATTTCTTAACAGTATAATGGTTTCAATGAAAATTGTCTAAAGTATTATTATATGTTTATGAGTTTGTAGAAAGTCTGGGCCGATCCAATAAGTCAAAGAGCATAAGTAACTGCATAAACTATTCGGATCGCTGCTCTGAGAACACAGTGGAATAGAATTTGCCGGCTTCTTTACAACACAGTGGTTGCAACAAGAATTGTCTAAAGTACTTTATAAAAGTGAGAGAAAATATTTATGATATAGCTCTGTACAAAGTATAAAGTTGTATCCTATCCAATAAACTTGCTAGTTATCTTACTTGATGGTCAGGATTTAGCATTGGTATAAGTGTAAATGCTTAAGGACATTGTTTCTTATATTACCATGCTTATACAGTAACCAATGAATGTGTAGTTTCCAGTAATATAAATATGGCTCGTTTTGGTTAGGCTAGTATTCTTGGCTAAGCCTTCTTGATTGTAACTTGAGAAACAAATTATTCACCAGCAAACTGCAAGTTCAACCGGGCGTTTATGTAAAGATGTTCCTTTTCATGTGTTAAGATCAATTGATCAGTGATAAATTTATTTCTTAGACTTTCACAAATTACATAAATAAACTTTTCCTGAATTGCCAAGTCTTTAGTTTTGTATAATTTGTTTGTATTCTACCTCAATGTAAATGTGTAGAAAAATAAGTTATTACTTTGTAAAATACAGTAACATATTGGCTACTATACATTACATATATATAACTAATGTTTTCAAATAAATACTTAAACGTCAGTTATTTTTCTTCAAACATAAAACAGTAAATAAAAACAATATTTGGAAAATAATGATCTCTACTACATACAATCCTTGTTTGCACTCGTGAGCCACACTTGCTAAGCCTCGTCCAAATTCACATGTGGAGACGGAAAAATAATAATTTTTGTAGACTTTATATAAGCATTTTGGAATACAAAAAAATTTGAGTTTCTAATTCATATGAAACTATAGATGTTGTATTGTGGGTGTCATAAACTGTAATCTGACCAAACCCAAAAGGCCATGTACCACAAAAAGCGATATATAGCCTTTTTTTTCAAGTATTTAGTTTCAAATTAAGAAATTAACTAATGTATAATACTAAAATTTGAACTATAATCTACAATTGGATAACAAACTTATTGACATACGTTTATAAAATAATAGCTAAATAAAATGTTGAATATAAATCTAAAAACTTGATAACAGGCCCTCTGACCCCTACCCATCTCGATAGGGTTAAAGCAAAAGGGAGACACACAAAATATTAACTGTTTGCTGAACTTGAGCAATTCCACTGAGTTTCTGTTGTACTAAATATGAAGACTAATGAAATTATGATGTTTCACCTGTTATTTACCTTCCATTGTTCTTATTTACAATTTACACTGTACGTTGTTTCCATTTATGATGCAAAGTAATTTTCATGATAAAGTTAAAATACTTTTCTTCATCTGAAAATTTTCAAATATCATTTGCATAACCCATAAAACCTCCTAAATAAATATCGAATGTTTTTTTTTTTCAGAAAAAACTTTTATTTTATCTGTTCTTTTATTTACCCTAATTGTATATGAGGTTGGTTGATTTGACCAACCTCTTAACCACCATAAAAAATTAGGAAATAATTATAAATTTCCCCTATTTTCTTTCTGGAATGACTGCAAATTCTAACAGAAAACCACATTTGTTTATTATAAGTAGCTTAAAGCTTGTAACAGTATACAGTGTCTAACTACTATTCATGCCATATAAATTGCAAATCACATGGCGAACATGCAGCTCACATTATGGTATTGAATTATATAAAACATGGTCTACTCGCAAGCATATCTCATAAAAGTATTATTGATATTATCATTTATTTTACTTTATCTAATCTAAAAAGTTTTGAATTTTTATATTTTAGTTACTTTTATAATAATAGATAAAGGATACACATGAAAAACAGGAAATAAAGTACTTGCTGGGTCTTTTTATTTTTTTGCTCTCAACTGTCATGGAACTTTACTTTTTTTATACTAATTGTACTACTGCACTAAATAATTTATATTTAATTAAATAATGCATCAAAGAACACAAAATAATAACATTCAAAAAGGAATCAATGTTCCATAACTATCAAAATTTTTCTGGCATTATAACTGTGCGCCAAAAGCCATTAAATATTCAGTCGAAGTGTTTTCCGTGGGAATAAAGTTTGAACAGGCAGGAAAATAGATAATTCTTTGTACAGACAACAATGAAATATAATACATCATTTGGTAGAGAAAACTTTGGCTTTCTATTATTTATAAATAATATAGTCTTAATTGGCAAGTTCTGAAAGAGAGGATGTGACAAATGGGTATGTCAAAAGGGGTCCGATTTTCTATTTTATTGCTCTGTTACTAAATGATTGAAAGCTATGTAAATTAAGTTTTTCCTGAATGATGAAAACATATAATGAGTAATTTACATTAAAGTTCGTACTTCTCAGAGTGGTGGTAAAGAAATTAAAGAAAATGGAAGACAAAGATAACAAACATCACAGTTCCCATACTAGGAGAGATTGAGTTTTTTTTTTAAGTATTTCCACATAAAATTAAGAACTTAAATAATGTTAAAATTTGGGTTATTAACTGTTTTGATACCAAGTGTATTCGTATATATTGATAATAAAGTAGTTTAATTAAATTTTGAATGTAACTCTGAAAGGTTGTGACGTGCACTTTGATCTCCCCTTGGCGAAAGGGTTAATTATATGGTACTTTCACGTGACTTTATTTTCATGCAATTTATTGTCACTGGTGTGCAAACTGTCTACTGTCTAGTTTGTTATGGTACAAAGTTTGAAGCAAAGTACTTGTGCTTGCCTTGCATATGAGGCATTTTGCAGTAAGTATTTAGTACCCAAGGGGTCAAATCTCATGCATCCTGACAAATTCTCATGTGCACAGGACCCAGGAGTTTGGGTTAATTAGAACCCTGGTCTTTAAAGTGTGTGAAAAAAAAAAGAAAATTCACTACACTGATTTTCATGAAATTAAAGCATTAATTACTTATTTTACAAATCTATACATTTTTTTGTCATAGTAAATTGCTATAAGCAGATCACCAGTGTTCAGATTACTTGATGAATGTAGATTTAGAATACTAAATATATAAAAGCAATACCCAAAATTAGTGATGCACAAGTAGTAAAATTTGGCTGAATAACGGGTCCGGGTTCTCCCCTTGTCCTCCTCACCCCACAAAAAAAAAACAGTAACGTACACAAAAATTAAAAACATAAACAAAATTGATGTATATTACAGTTAACCAAATAATCACCAACAGAACATTCAAGTTTTACTTTCAATGCCTAGCCCCAACTTCTCAAACCCTATCCCCAATTGTTCTCAAAATCCCCACCTTCCCAAGAAATCCACTTATAAAGCCATGCCTATTATTAACTGGCTATTGTTCTCTGAATCCCTGACCTTCAGTGGGCAGTCAATTTTTGTTGGTCAGAACATGTTTTTTAACTAACCGAATTATTGACTGTAACTTTCAGTACAGAGTTGGTTGCCTCAAAGATTAGGGCTTAGATGCCATGTTCAATTATCTGGATTTGGCTGTTTTTAGCTTCGACACTCGGCAGGAGCTGAGTATTACTGGGTAGCCCAGTACCTGGCTTTTGCCGAATATGTGCCTGGGTACCCGTGCATCCCTACCCAAAATATTAATGTCACTCAGAAAAGATCAAAATAAGAAAGTGGTGTGAGGTAAATTGGTTCAAAAACAACAGTAATGAAGGTTTAAGTTTGTAAAACTAGTTAGTTTATTTTATAATGTCAAGTTTCTCTGAAAATTTTAAAATTAATTTTAATACACAAAGACATCAGTAAAGTAATTTTGTATTAAAATCTGTCATGTTTAACATTAACCAATAAGTAAACTAAAAATTACTTTTCCACACAGACAATCCATGCAAAATTAATTATTTTATTTCAAAACAAAAACGATGTGGTTATGCATTAGTACATCATAAAAAAAACATATGCTGTGTATAGGTGCTGTGTTTTAGTTTTTGATTCATGTGGGTAAAAATGCTTTGGTAAGTTGGATACTGGTGCACTTCTCTGTGCAGAGACTATAACTTTAATTTATTTCTGTTTTATCTGTTCAAGTTAAAACCTTATATTTGATTTCTCTCCCAGTTTCTCATGATGGGAAAGTGTTTGCTTGTGGAGAAGGGACAAATGGCAGGCTGGGCCTTGGCCATTGTAACAATGTGTCGATACCTCGCCAGGTGACACTGTTGAGCCAGTTTGTCATCCGAAAAGTTGCTGTTCATTCAGGTGAATATATATAGTATTTTAGTAAGTGTACAAGGAGATGTATATCTACTTAATATCAGTGATACGCTTTTAACTATTGTAATAAATATTTGAGTTTTTGTTTCACAGTTCTTTTTTTTCTTTGATCTGCTCAGTCAACTGATTTATGTTTGAACTGATGGACATTTACTTTCATAATTTATTAAATTTCCGTATTTGTTTACTATTATTATTGATATTGATACGACAGTGAAAGTCACGTGATGCTGGGAGTCTGCCGAATACTATAAAAAAATACATGGCTTATCGAGGAACCCCGCGAATGTCCGAGTGTTTGCTAGGCACCCTATTTTTTAGTGTATAAGCCTGGCAATTAAAGCCAGCGAGATAGAGATATGCAGATAGATTGAAGATAGAGATAATTGAGTCGAGCGAACAGTAGGCA